TGCTAGGAATTCTAGTACAGTGCTATTATTCGCGCCTTAATATAGTTTAATCTAGTATTAAATTTTAAAGCAGTTTTTCATTTATTATACACTCTAAATAGAGTAACATTTTAATTATGAAACTTTCAAACAGGAGCGTTTGCGTCATTGCATGAGTTTGTTTATTAGAGTTTTGTTAAAGTTATGAACATATTCCGAAAAATAAAACACGAGCTTCTGTTTTAAATATGTTATGGAAATGAAGGCATTGCTAAATATTTGTTTGAATTAATAAAAGGATAAAAAACCAATCACACTAGTGAGAGAATTAAACGTAGGCGTAATTTTTTGATTAAGTAATTTTTTTCTATTCAGTAAAGTTCTTTACTGGCTATTATTAAGTCTTGTTTGGTTAAGAAAGAATTAATAATAATTAATAATTTTGAAAAATTTGTTCGGAAATACAATTGTCAGAAAATTCATATATAATTAAAAATACGGGTTCAGCAAAATAAAACATATTTTATAATCTAACATGCAATACTAGTTGCACTAGTTAGAAGATATAAAAGTTATTTTTTTATTCTTAATATCTAGATATGGTTTTCTTCAAATTTTAAGACTTTCTAATGAATGTGACTACATTATCTGGTACATTAAGGAATTTGAAAATACAAAGTATTGTTCAGTGTCTATAGTGACAAAAACAACAAACAACTTGGTTCATAATATTGTTAACTTAAAACAATTCCAGAATAATTAATATCAGGAGTTTTTTCGTTAAACTAATAAGTACATATTAAAATTTCATAATAATTCAAATCATTTTATAATTATACTATTTATAACTGGTTTAAATATGACAAATAAACATAATAAACATTATCTGATTTTCTCTATCTTTATACTTCTTATAAATAAATAATAAAAATATATAAAAAACCACTACTAAGCTAGACTCTGTATAAGTAAATCATTTTATGATGCCAAGATGAAACGCGGCAGTCGGTATAATTATGCTTTATAGTCCAATTAAAAGCTTATTACAACAGAAACATTTTTCTGTATTCCCTTTTATAATATAATAATGAGCAACTAGGAACATACTTTGTGTTTCAACATAAATTGTTTATTTCTGCCTATTATTTGATTATACTTTATAATGATATATTTATAATTACTGTTAATTCAGTCAGTGGTGGCCTAGTGGCTAAAAGGCCCGCCTCTCATGCATGATCTATCGTTTGTAATAAATCAATGAAAATAATTCAAATTTTCTTAGAGTACTTATAAAAGAAAGGCTCTAAGATAAGACGAGAACTAGTACAATAAATTTAAAACTGTAATAATCAGAAGCTCATTAATCGTCTTCTTGAGCTTGGAACGGAGAAGGAACAGTTTGTAATAATGGGCTATTAGATGTTGATGGTATTGTAAGACACTGTTAATGTCGCCAACTTTGAAGCAGAAGTTATCGTTCAACCCAGCAAATCAATTTAAGTGTATTTAAGGCATGATAAGATCTTATGCCTTATTATGAATTTAAAAGTATTTTTTATTGTTATTTATCATGTTCGAAACAAAAAGGTATCAGGTATACTTATAAAATAACACAAGAAATATGTTAAATAGAACTCCAAGTGTCGAAACATTTTTATTTTGTACAAAAATATATGTACTAAGCGTAAGTCCTGCAATGTGTGAGTAATTAAATTTATTATATATTTCTTTTATTTTTTTGCTGAGCTACGTACTGTACTACTATAATTATGTAAAGGCTGTAAGCTTCTCAACTATTAAATATATTTAAATAAAAATGGAAGAAATATCTAATTTATTCCAAGTCTGATACGGACATTCTTGATTAAGATTGTATCCTGAGGTATTATGACCTTCTAGGAATATTAACAGTGTATGCTATGTAGCCTTATTTATCATAACAGTTTATTATGAAGAAACAGATGACTTGTACAAGAAAATGGTAGAATTTTAAAGTTAAAAAAAGGATGCAAGAACAACAATAAGAAAGTTTTATTCGAATGAGTTTCCAAAATTTTTAAGCACCTTTCTTTTTATATATCTTCAATCTATCTCTTCTTTATATTTTTTATTTATCTTTTTATACATCTTAATAGTTATAACATATGTAGATACCTACTCACCGGTTTGATAATTAATTTATCTCAATACAGTATAATATGTCAAACAACTGACTGAATTTCAAACAAAGATAATTTGTAAAGGTATTAAATTAGATACCTCTAACATATTTTGGATAGACAATAATGTTGTTATAGCGCTAAAATACAAAGTATTTGTTATTACTTCACAAAAAATTTTTTAAATTATACGTGGATTGTACATACAGTAAGTAGGATATATCATTAATTGTTTAATCTCCCTTACATTTACATATGTTAGAATAAGTTTTACTAATATGAATTTCGAAAAGAGTAGTTTTTTGACCAATGCAATATATATATGTATATGAAAGAGATATTCTTCTTTTCTTCCATTATTAAGTTTAGGCACTAGTTGTAAGTTGAAATATCGATTGGGATGACACAGGGTACGAATATTTAAATCTTTATATGTACCTACATAAACTACCTAGTTTTTATTCTAAATCTATCGCTTATTAAGAATTCATTAAGGATTATAGTTCTAAGAATATTGATATTAAAAATGAGTAAACTATGAGATTTTGATAGGTTACAGCGTATTGCCTGGACATTCAGAATTTTGTCAAAATAATATTACCTTATACCTAAAATCTGTACCATACTTCTTCTCATATTTATATTTTATGCAAAACTGTGCTAATACTAAAGAATTTGTCATTATTAATTATGGACAAACTCTTCGTTTTTTTCAGTAACAGTATAAGTCATTTAAGCACTAAGCAATAAAGATTCGAGTCCATCTGTAAAGACAAAAATGTTTTTGTTTTAGAATAAAAATTCTCTAACAAAAATTTCAATGATAAATCGTTCTAATACACTTCTTCATAAAGTACACATATACATACACATACTATTATACTCACTCACACTTACACAGTTAACATACGTTGTACATGTAACTATCAATTAGTTGCCTAAAGACGACATTCTTAAGAATGGCAATTTGTAAAGAAATGACCTTTAGAAATGCTGATCTGTTCTGTTAATTTCTTGTTAACAATTGACAGGCATTCATTTAATGTCTTTCCTTCAAAGACATCTGAAGCTAAATTGTACTAAGTTTTGAATTAGTACTTATATACTTATATGTATTTCCATTTTTTCCACGACAATTTGAAACATAGAAAATGCTTCTTGTTCATTTAGATATTTTATAAATAATAACATTTAACCCTACGTTCGTATATTCTCAATAAATTCATACAATAAATTCTAAGCGATATCGAATCCACGTACATTCAAAGTCATAATTCAAAAACTAAAGCATGGATGTAATATACGAGTGACGCCAACTTTATACCAAAGTGCTTTAATTATAAACAAGTAATGCTATATGTGGGGTTTTTAAAATAGTTGTAAAATTATTTTTACTATAATTATATTTACTTGTTTTCGTATTTAATATTTTTTACGTGATAATCAGATTGGGTGTTGTAAATTTAAGGATAGGTAATGCCATTAATGTGCTTTTGGTATAGCGTCACACGATGTTAATTGGCAATTAGCTGTTAAAGTAGTTTTGAGAATAGAACATTGTAAGAATACGTGCGATTATTTTGGGAATGAAATATCTGTAGTTGTGTAAAGAGTAGGTGTAAGTATGACGGGGATGTGAGGTCCAGGTAGAACCCAGGTACAAATATACTTAGTAGTAAGTGTGGAAAGAGACAGTTCAAGAGCAACGTTGATGTTGGAAGAATCTTATAATTATCTTGGATCTGTGATTCCGTCGGTAAAGATATAACAACATATTAAATCAAAAGCTAATTCACGAGCACTATGCGGTTAAAACCAATCACTTCAGACATGAACGCAGGTGCAAAAGTGATCATTATTTCATAAAATAGGAATTGAATAGTGAAGCCCACTTTTTACGATAGAATAACGAATAAAGCGATATCCTTTTCCCTTTCTTATTCGCATAAAAAATGATCAGAACAGTTTGCCTATAACTCTGTTTTCTTTCCATCATTATTTGAATCTCTTAAAACTTAATATGAATAGACTTATAAAGTTATAGTACATGAATCACATATCAACAAAGCGATCCACAGTCGGGCACTACCAGTTATTAAAAAAAATCGATAACGGGAACATAAAATACCTTATAATTAAACAAACCGATTTTTCCAAGTCATCTGTACTTTCTACGAGTATTTAGACGCCACTGACAGACGGTGAAGGAAAACTGTAATATATATTTTTATGAACTTTCTAGAGTAAAAAACAGTTTATAGTTACTTATCCTCTGATCATGTTAACAATGTGATTTATGTTTGTTATTTTAATCCAGTTAGAAGCTGTGTATATTTAATTACAACAAACATAATTGAAGCGACCCGTTAAATGTGACTTTAGATTAAAAGGCTAAATAAATTAACCAAAAACAACTACCATACCCCAATGTGAAGTTTGAAGTTCATACATAGAAAAAAGTTCAACGCGATATGATATTTTAAATTAAGTAAAAATCATTATAAATAATGCGCCGGATATATCCAATTTAACACAACATAACAATTTAGGAGAATATCAATTCGTTTCAGATAAGAAAAATATAGATTTTCTTTTACGGAGGAACAAGAGTCGGCGAAATAAAGGTTGGTGGATTTAGTTTGGCTTTTTCATTAAAAGTTCTCGAATAAATGTTGTGGAATCTTTATGAAAAAAAGAGAGCTTAAAACCAAAAAACTAAGAAAGATTTTCACGGCAACCAATCTTTAATAACTTTCGGCAAAGAAACGATTCTTATAACCTTGTAAGTAATTTTCAACCTCAAAAACTCTGTAGTAACTTGATCAATATGAGAAGTTGATATTCTACAGAAACATCAACTGGATGAAAATAAATAGCCAATCAGAATGGTTTTCTAGGTTCGGTAAGTCACATATCGGAGTAAATTGCTGCTCTGAAGAGGCTTGTCTGTTTCAGATACGGCAAATCGGGAACGAAGATATCGGACTGCAGGGCCGGTCCAAGTTGCCTCGTGTTCCTATAGGCTTGTTAAGCATTCTATCACGTGCTGAGAAGCGGCAATTCCATCATTGCTGTGACAACGCAAGCCCAAGCAAGGAAGATGAGAATCCTGACGATAAAGGCTAGCTGGATAGCGGTAAAGGCGGCGGCGCTGGGACGACTCTCGTCATGGAGTAGAAACAATAAGCCCGTGGGTAGCAATCGAGGGATTGTCGTCTACAGAAAGCGCCCCGACGCAAAAATTCCCTAATATCCGGAAAACTCTGAAAAACGGTCCGCGTTGTGAGGTCGTAGTACATAGTAATCCCAGTTCAAATGTCCCTCACTAAGGGCTGAACGCGGACATCCGAGGGTTTAGTTGGTAAACTCTGACCCGAGACTATTTATTTATTAATAAATGACGTCTAATAAAAATTGTATACATATTATATCATTTCAAAAGGTGAATAAAAAAGCTCAACATTAATTTGTTCAAAACAAAACTCAATATATTGTTAATGTAATTAAAATTCTGAAAATAAACTCGGAATTCAATTTCTAGCAAGTTCTAGTTTTAAGATAAAGCACCAACTTGTTAACGTAACTTTTTCCTCAAATGACATATTTTACATAAGTTGCTTTGTTTCATATAATTATGAGACTATCGTAACAAGAGATGGCATTTTTACAACGTAGGTATTTGTGTGCAAATGAAAAAAAGAAATACTGTCCTTAATGAATTGAAAAATATTTTTTTTATTACAAATTTGATTTAAGATAAAACTAGGGTTGGTTTAAAAATCCTGCTCATTTTTTAACGTTTAACATACTTTATACTTACAGTTACACTGATTTTCAATTAATAAAAAAAATATCAAAAAAATCCTTCCTTTTCCTATACTTAATCGGATTTTGAAGGCTATAGGCACAAAATTTTAGTTAATCAGTAAATGCTTGTGAAAAGACAGATATTTCTATCAAACTAATTATTATTTTGGGTCCTAGTACTCTAAAGACTACAATTCTCTGTATATATCTGAGTTTCGTTGCAAAACGGGCTTCGTATGAGATGTCACTGTAATTGAATATCCACGTTCGTCCTCAGTTACGGTTGGTTCAATTTTATCATGAAACGTGTTGGAACCATCCACATAACAATATATCCTCATGTAATCATACATTTCTTTCAAAATAATTATGGAAGAAAATTAATTCATTTAAGAATATTAGCAATTATTATTTATTGTTACTACAATTCTATTGTTATGTTATCTCTAATAAATTTGATATTTCTTTATCATATTTAAATAATATTTGTAAACAACACAATCTTAACACAATCACAAATTTTTAATTAAAACAGTTTAATTGTTGAAAATTTTATTTTTGATTAATATAAAGATAAACCAAGTTATTTAAGCTAAGCATATGCTTTCATATATCCTGATATATAGTTATATATTGATATACCCTGAGAAAGTTTTGAAAAATATTGATCATTTTTATGTAACATCATTTTAAGAACAACAAAATAAAAAAAGGAAAAAACAACAAGCACATTAAATTTCAATTTCTAGGGAATAAAAGTTATTAGTTTTGTTCGAATGAAATATAATAGATTTGATTGCTAAATAAATGCCTTCCCGTTTCACGTTTTGTAACAGAATTTAAATATCCCAAGTTATGAAATTTATAATCATCCCAAGTCTAACGGCTATCTTCACTACGTATTCGATTCATTGTCAACAAATGTAAATTCTACTTTAGGGGATAATTGGAATGGAGAATATATTTAAACAAAATAAAAAGCCACGGACTAAAAGATCTCAACTTTAAAGTGCAGAGAGAGAATAATGAATGTTAAAAGCAATTCTAAATGGCATTACAATTTTACTTTCGGATAACATAAGGCATTGCAAAACTTTTACAAGTAGTTAACCTGATTAGATGCTTGGAAAAAAAATACAAAATTATAGTTATAAAACAAAAGCATAATTATGTTGTTTATTATATTTATAAAAGGCTATGGTGATTTTACAATGGATGCTTCTAAATAATGAGGAGTTTTTGATAATGTATCGCAACGAATATGTATGTTTACAATACGGAATTCCCCTCATTCGAATATATTGTCTTTTAGATTCGGAGAAGAAGTGATAAAATTATAGATATTACAGGAGATACAATAATTAAGTCCAACTAAAATTATTTTTATAAAAGAACGCACATGTATTATGTAACTGAGTAAAATAATAGGCCGAGGAGTTATTTCATAAAAGAAAGGACAGCTAACCAAGCGTCGCCTTATTAGGTATCTTATTATTTGGCAAATAAAAGTATAGCGCTGATAGAGAGTCGTCTTCGACATTAATGTTGTTATTCTATCAAAAATAAATTACACATAGCAACTATCGGGTAATTTGTAAAGAAATGTTAATTATGTAGCAATTTTTATGAATATCAATAGCTGCAGCTCTTTGTACAGATTAAATAATAAATAATTTTGTTGGTCGCTACATATGAAGAAAAAAAATTTAACATTGCCGGGGCGACATCATTGTATTGTATTTAGCTTTAATTTCTGCTTCCGAGGCGAAGTTAGTTACAAACGCTCAAAGCGAACAATTGACGTCTTTCTTACTTGTAATTAAGACGCTGAGAGATATCTTATTTAGAAAGTCTGAGTAATTTACAAACTTTTAAATGACAGCTTATTATAATATAACACAGCTTTTTTTAAAATAAAACTTCCTCATCCTTATTCTGCCACATTTAAATCATATGATGAAGTTTCTCATTATTTTCTCGTTCATTTATATTTTTTATCAAGATTGTTATTTTTACATACATGATATATTTTTTCTGATGATTACATCAAACAATTAATCAATAGTTTATGTAATCTTTTGATTTAATAGAAATATAATTCAAGCGATATTTTATAATGTATTTGTTTCCTATTCTCTCACTTATAAAAAGAATAATAATAGTTATATAAATGGTAATTATCTCCTACAAAACAGATATATATAGCAGATAATAGCCAATTATTGCAAACTGTTCCTTCTCCTTTAGAAACTCAGGAAGACGATTAATGGGCTTCTGATAATTACTGTTCTAAACTTATGTGGCGTTGACTCGGTTGTTACTAATAGTTCTTGTCTGATCCAATAGAAGTTGCTTGACGTACTGTTAGTAAATTTGTAGTGTATTCTGGTTTATAGCATACTAATGACATTAATATATATCCTCAATGATAAATGAGAATAAATGGATAAACAAGACAATACAGATAGACATTTATAATTTAGTTTAAAATATTTTATTTTTCTCGATATAAACTTGTTTTATATATTTCTAATAACTCCAGTATAGTTAATTATTATAACTCTTGCAATAAAATTAAAAGAAAATAATAAAAACTAGAAGCTATATTTGTAATCGCTATACAATAAAAGGGTAATATTTCAAATACTCTTTCTGTATTTGTTCAAGCATTTTTAATTTGATAAATAAAGAAATATGTTTTTTTTAATAAAAAGGAAAGTTTAAAATCACTTCATTATGACACTTGTTACGTACGCGCTAAATGTGAAGAAAAAGAAATGAACATCGCCGGGGCGACATCTTTGTATATGTAAAATATCATATAACGAGTGACGCCGCTGACTCCGCGGAGCCAATACCAAGCCGTGTGAACCAGAAGATTAGACATACCACACAAGCAATAAAATGCCATTGTCATCCTAACATCAGGCAATCATGTAGTGTAAGGTATAGGTTATAAGTTTTAACATGTAATTTTTATTTTTATATACATACAAGTATTTTTTGTAATTTTCCTGGAATTTTTCGATTTCTTTTTCGTATTAAAACCATAATTAATATATTCCATTACTATATAGAAAAAATCAATGCAGGTCATTTTTTAAAACAAATGTAATAAGTAATTTTTGACCTGACAATGACAGCAAATCCGAATACATTTCTATAGACTCAATGATACCTTTAATGCTGTTTTCATTATTATTCATAACAGGAATTAAATGACATGCTGTTTTTGTATCGGTAAAATATCGTATAACGAGTGACGCCGCTGCCTCCGCGGAACCAACACCAAGCTGTGTGAACCAGATTTCACATACCACACAAGCAATAGAATGCCATTGTCATCCTAACATCGTGGCAATCATGTAGTCTTAGGTATAGGTTATTACATAGTTTTAACATGTAATTCTTATTTTAATATACATATAAGTATGTTTCGTAGTTTTCCTGAAACCTCCGGTTGCCACCCTATATAATTCGCGGGCAAACTGTTTATAAACAATGTGATCTAACATTTCATTTATAAATTGTAATGCCTCTCTTTTACATATATTGTCTTTCAGAGTCAAATGAGTACCAACAAAATTTTATACATATATTATAAGTCACAAATTAACTAAGCCCAGCTACAAGTATTTAATTAAAAACACAATAACTTAATGACAAAAGCAACTCGACAAAGGACCGACTAAAACATTAAGCCTCGGGAATTATTTAATAATGATAGCAAAGTTATCTTATAATTTAGCCAACATAAAGGTATCACTCATACGAAGATACCTAAAGCATTATTTTTTGTGTTATATTTTACTAAATCTAAAGGATATGTGGAAATCATTGACCGCTTTTTTTTTAATTTTGACACATTTAATATCCATCTAACTTGCATAAGAACATAATTTTGTGTTAACCTCAAAACTTTTTTCGTTTTTACATTGAAGAACGAAGTTCGCTATTAGAGTAACACTAATAGTGAACTTAGTTCTTCAATACTTAAAAGAATAATAGGGATTCCATATAGGTCTGACTCCATTTAGGATAGATATCGGTCTGTTCAGTTATCATTACAAAATTATTTAGTTAACATCAAAAACTTAAAAGTATCCTATTACCCTTTTTATTAAATGAATATTAGGGAAAATCCTAGATCTCATTGTAAGTGATTATTAATACAGACCCTAGAAATTGCTTCAATACAACAAACTTCTAAGATAAAAGAAAAAATGTGCAACACGATTCTTAAATTAAAATACTAAGTATCGATAAAATTGTATTAATCTATCGGATTCGCAGTTATTAGCAATCCGAAAAACTATCAA